TTGATTATTTTTATATCAGAGCTCGTTAAAAGTTAGTAGTAATAATTTGTCTAACGACGAATGAACGTCCTGCTGCGTAGAAATTTTTCACTAACCGGGACGCACCCCCGTCGTGCCTAGTTGTTTACGCAACGTGTGTACCCCACTTAATCCACTGTTTTACTGTTTAGATCTCGACTACCGTAGGGGGTTGTTCTGACACGAGATTCCGTCGTCTTGAATCTTTGGATCCTTCTTTCTCGCCTTGTCTTTTCTTTTTCCATAAAAAAAAAGGGGAACAAAAAAAAGCGGATACTTGTGTAAGTAGATTTTATCCTGTAAATAGTGACGATAATACTAGCAGCATTGAAATCATAAAACATAAAGAGGTTAAGAAGATGTGTAGAGAGACACCGGTATTATTTACTTGATATTATTAAAATTATAATAATAAAGTAAATATGACGTTTATATAAATAAAGGGTAGAAATATCTTTTTAATATTCATAAAAAAAAGAATATTTAATATTTTGAAACACCTTCATTCCAGTCTGATTATTCCATTCCATTCCAAGTTGATTATAATACGATACGATCATGGTGTAATCTTCTTTACGAAAGCATCTATGCTTTTTCATGATATAATTCAAACGATTTATTGTTCACACTACCACAATGTTTAGGCAATTACAATCGACTCTAATGCCGGACGCTTTATTTCATGTCGTTTGCAGAGCTATGACTAATATTTTCTCATAACTTCGGAACGGCTTAATGTGATAATACAAAACAAATAACAGATATCGCGAAATCTACAGCATAAATTACGCTCGTCTGATATGCCCTCGTCGTGCTCGTTTAAGCTCGAACGAAGAGCATTACAGCTGCAGCCATCTTGCCGGACCGACGTTTAACGGCATCGTTAAAAATTAACGACCGTTTGTTAAAAGACTCGTCCTACCGGAATAGAAACCGAGCACCGTCAGCATACTGCGGCCTGCGTTACGAATCGATGGTAACTGCGCGCGATTTTTTCAATTCGTAAATTCTTGGACACACCAACTGAAGAAATATCTTAAAGTGTTGGCAAAATTGTTGCTCGTTCATTAAATAGTTTTTGGCAATTCGGAGATTAATATCAATATTATAAATTAATGATAGTTACTTATCTAAAAAAAGAATTTGGAAAGAAGAAATTTAATTAAAAAACCGATCGTTTATATATGGCTATTATATATAATGATCGATGATTCGAATCGATTTTAAATCGATAGTGTTCAATGATCGCAATCCTTGCATATCGAAAGCCATTTTCTAAGAATTTTCTCTAATGAACCGGAAGTTATAAATCTTAACTCTTTCTTCCTTTACTCCTATCGATGGAAATCTTTAAGACAGATTTTCTCCAATATATTGCTTGTAGTATAACTAAGAAACTGACAATACTTTTGCTGCCTTCTCTGTGTTTACAAGTCAGAGTATCGTTACGAGCTTTCGGACGTGAACCATCTGCTTGGATTGTCCAGCGGGAAGATGATACCAAAAAAGTATCTTTCTACATCATCCTTTGCGTCATCTTTGTGCAATTTTTGCAGAAAAAAAAAATAAATAAAATAAAATAAAATTAAAAATTAAAAAGAATTAAATTAGCAAATTCTATTTATAATTTTAATATCTTAATATTATTCTTTTCTGTATAAAAAGTATATTTTTTATATATTATTTTATATATTATTTTATATATATTTTTTTATATATTATATAACTGTTCAAACAATGATATAATATAATGATATAACATACTGATAACGATATAAATATAATATTTTAAATTACTATTGATCGTGCAATTTATGTTGCAAATTGATTAATTCTATATGATCTGTCATTGATAAATTAACTCACAAATTATAAAATTGGCTTACAGCTGGTAAAATAGAAACAAATAATAAACATGTCGGTATAGTAGAAACAATTACTCATCGATAAAGTAATTTCTATTTCTGTTCAATAACAGAGATCTATTTTATCGATAATATAACTTAAATTTTTGTCGCTAGATGGCACTACGTACAAATATTAATAAATTTAATTAATAATAACAAAATGTTAATGTCATTAATATAAATCAACAAGATAATATGTACAAATATCAATATAATTATCAAATTTTAGATAATTAAAAAATATAAAAATTTAAAAAAAAAATTATAAAATACAATTTCACTAATTTAATTCATTCTTATCTTTTCCATTCAAAAATTAAAAAGATTTTACATATGTATATATAATTTATCATAAAATTATGTGACTTTTTGCATAATTCGCTAAGTTTCTTAAATACTTTATCCCAGACTAAATAAAAACATCATTCGAACCCTCTGTTCCAACCTGTTCACTGACTGATTTCGTATATTTTCTGAATCAATATTGAACCTTTCATGTGACCTTGGCACAACAGGTAGGTTAGTTAGAACGAAACAGGTCTTGCCCGTCGCTTTTTTTTTTTCTTCACATTTTTACAGACTGAACGAATTATAATCATTTGTTCTCAATATCAAATTTATGTCCATCAAAATCTTTCCTCTTAATGATCGATGGGCCAGTTTTCAATACGTGCTCGATTATAATGTTGAATGCAATTTACATATCAATAGAAATACAATGAATCATCAAAAATATATTTTTTAGTTGCTGAATTGCAAGCTCGTTTACCAAAAAATAACTCTTTTTAATATTGTACTTTCTTTTTTCATAGTGTATGATTAAAAACTTTTTTCTTGTAAAAACATTTACTATGTTTTAGTAACGATACTCTTCATATTATTTAATCTTTTGATATTAAAAAATATTTCATAACTTAATTTAGTAATTTAAGAGAAAAGAGATGAATTTTTACGTAATTAAGGTGATTTCTATCATCTTTTATCTATAATATAATGCGATCGTTATCAATATTTTTTTTAATTTTCCGAGAAAGCTGCAATTGTGGAAAGTATTATAAGCGAGAATGAAAAGTATTCATTTCATGCTTAAAGATAGATGTTTCGAAGAAAATGTGTTAAGAGTTTCGTTTAAAAAGGAATAAGGTGATTTCGTAAGTAAGATTACCAGAAAAGTCGTAGTGAAAAAATAATCGAAACGTCTTGAAAGCCGTCACAATTAATATAGCTGGCAATAAAATAGGAAACATACGAGTATACATGTCATGACGAGTCTAAATATTCGATTTCGTTCATACCACTTAGAAATCCTTCGAGTGTTCTCGCTCTTGAGTTAAATGTTACCACTTAAGGGACGAACTTGCGCCACTTTTAGAAGGATGCAATTCTTTACTTATCAAATATCTTTTCATAACGATGCAAAAGAAATATTTGTATATATAAAATTCATAATTGTGTCATGTCACATCTACAACAATAATAAGAAGAAATTATTTTATCATTCTATGTAATTATATCGACACAATATCAGTTATGAAAAACAAATGTAAAGTACAATTAACCAATATTTTATTTCTAAAAGAATGTAAAATATCTTGCATACTTACATCAGTTTATGGTTCATTTTTGACATATTACGATTTTGATTTTTCCAATCTAACCTTTACGTTATAATCGAATACATCTGTATCCTTATCAATAATCATTCGTGCATCACCCATGTTTCTTCCTTGTTATAGAATACGAATTTGAACATCCGAATTTGCTTTCGGTAAGAAATGCCGCGAAGAACATTTGTTTCGGCTCAGGAGGAGGTCCATACCCTGTAGGTGGTTGCCACGAACGAATCTCGACCTCAACCATCTGGAACGACTTAAAACACGGAGAATGAGAAAGAAAAGGATGAGCCATTCCAAACCATTCTTCTTGATGTCCTTTTCTTTGGCCTCGTGCCCTTTTTCGTATCCACCTTAAATATATGTGCGCACGAAAAGAACCCCGGGACTGAAAGAACGGTCAATCTCTCTATTGACAATGTGGTTAGATTAACTTGTAAATGGGTATAGATTAACCTGTAGATTATAGATTTCATGTCAAACATTGCCACCAGTCGTTCAATGGGGGGAAAAAGAGAAAAGTATTTGAAGTGATTTACCATTTGTACCATAGCCTAAATTAATCCAGGTTCAGATGAACCTAACCATAGCCACTAATCATCACGTGATCATTCTTATTTAGACATTTCAATCTGATCTCCAATTCTTTTTGATTACCGTTAAATACGACTGAAACAAAAATGTTATTATTTTGAAGAAAGGATTATAATAATGGAAATGGGACAGATGAAAAATTATATTGAAGCGTTATTCAAGGAAGAGGAAGAAACAGAGGAAGTTCGAGAGAGAGAGAGAGAGAGAGAGAGAGGAGGGGGGCCGGAAAGAACATGGAGAAGGAAGAGAACATCAAAGAGAAGCGACAACGGATACGCGTAAACCTTGAGCTGTGAATGCCGAAAAACCGACAGAGCTTCGAAGTAACTGACGCGTTCTCGGGAAAACTCATCAAAGAGCCGTGGATGGATAAATGTAACCGTCCGTTTAACGCGAACCCCTCGCTAATTTTAATTGCCGCCTGATTTACGTTTCGATACCGTTCCTTTTTGTAATTCTATTTTTTCTCACCACTTCGCGCCACCAACATCCCCCCATTCCTCGTGCTTCCAACGCACACATGGATGTGGACGTCGCGCGAGAAACGTTGTTCTGCGGTTACGAACGTGACGGGCTCCGTGGAAAAAAAATGATAAATTGTCCCGAGGACAAGCGGATACGTGATTACCGTGATTTGTCGGTGCGCTGGGATCACGATTTGTCACGAAATTTAATTACAAACGCCGCGAGAATACGTGTTTGACATTTCGATATAATAATTTCACTCAACTTGAATTTGATCGCGTAAAAAAGTTTCGTGCAACTTGAGTGCCAATAAAATTTAGGATACGAGATATTATCGAACCGAAGTAGGAAAAGAAGGAAAGATTAAAGACGAATTCGACGTTACACATTCTATGAGAGAAGGAAACTCGATCGATCAAGTCAAATTGTATATTTCTTTCTTCGTTTCAAGTACGTATCAGAATTAGATTCCGTTTTTCTTGCAATTGCACGTCTATTCTATATCTTTTCTACGGTATTCAGAAGAACACGGAAGCGACGTAAGTGAGGACGCAATATTCAGTTTGGTTTGATGCCACAGTCCGTCACCCCTGCGGCTGTTTTCACACAAAACAAAGAAACCCATCCCTCCACGTCGATATTTCCTCGTTCCTGTCATCGTCGTTCTCCTTTCTCGAAGGGCGGTACTCTCTACCCCACCTAGCCACCCTTTTCTTCGTCGACCTGCGCCTTTCTTCGATCGCGATTCGCACCGGAAGTTCAGGGCTGCGGACATTAAGGGGCGATAAGAGCGTTGTTACCATTGGCTTAAACGTATAATTACGAAAATGATGGATTTTAAATTCGAGAGTAAAAGTGTTGTTTTTAATCAGAAGAGAGTGAAAGTGTATGTTTGATAGAATGTAAGAATTAATTATATTAATTGGACGGACTATCTTTTGAATTGCTAATAAACAAATAGGAACGTATAGTTGAAATTGAAAAATCAGTAGCAGTATATCATAATATAAATATAAATTGCAAAAATCAAGGAAACGAGGCATCATCCGATAAAAAAAGGACACAAATTAATTCCTTTTTGGACTTATTTTTGGTTTATCAGCGCAGCAAGAGCTACGAGATATCTCTAAAGATATAAAGAAAGAAAGAAGGACCAACTATACTTAGCCATCGCCGGGGAATGGTGTCTTTGGCAGACAGCGTGGCACCGAAGGCTCTCTATCCTCCTTTTTTTCTCGGGCGTGGCAATAAGGAAGTGGGCCCGCTGCTTAAGAAAACAGAGAACCGCCAATATCGGGCAGGGCCTGAGAAAACAGAGAACCGTTTTCGAAATCCTGCCCAGGATACGAAGCGACTTGGCTTTCCATCATGAATGAAAACCTGAATACTCGCGAGTCGTCACGAAAAACCTGGGCAACCTGGATAAGGGTAGGAATATCTCTTTGGCCCATGCCATACTAGTGGAATTTCTGAAATAAATATCTTAAATATAATTCAACTCGCTATTGAAGCAATATAAAAAAATAATAAAAAAAGTTTTCTTACATTTAAAAAAGTTTTTTAAGTGTAAAAATTTAATTAGAGAAATTTTACGAATTTTATAATATTATAACTTTTAAGTATATATGTTTTATATACTTGATATATGAGATTTTTAATTACTAGTAATATACTCAATCATAATGATGATTAGAATTGATTAATAAAAAGAAGTTTATAAAATGAAGAAATGATGCAAAAATGCGCTGTAGAATCTAAAAAAAAAAAATAAATTAAATTCTTATAAAAAATGTAAACGTCTTTCTGGAGAATTGTTGTCGCAAGACGTGGAATCAGTGACTAGAAAATTCGTCCCGGTTCCGACGCGACGTCCAAACCTCAGGGTAGGCGGTGACCACTTAATTAATGGCCTGACGAAAGGCAGCGACAATTAATACGATACCAGTTTCCTTCCAGGATCTTCCAGTCCAGCTTGCACGTGTGAAATACCCGAAGACGATGTCACGATTTGTCACATGATATTCTTTTTGTGATCTTCGTGTCGTTACGTTGTAATAGCATACAAAACAATGTAGTGATCAGATAAACAAACAACATTAACTAGTGAATAACTAAACAAAGTATTAATGTCACAATCTTACCCATTTTAAACAAAAATGTTTTTCCTTTCAGGATTTAAAAATACCTTAAACAAAAAATAAATATATACCTTGATTATATTAAGATACATCTAATTTTTCCTTTGATAAGAAATTAACACAAAATAAATTTTATAAATTAATATTCAAGATTGATTGATTCTGAAAGAATATGTATCTATATAAATCTATATAAATCTATATAAAATGTGTATAATATATATTGAAAGCATTTGTATTTCAAGGAAGTCTATCTGCAATTAAATAAACGGGACTGTTCAGTAATTCGAACGCATCCCATCGATCTTAATCGTAAAAGTAGAACTCGTTGTCATTCTTTGAGCGATGCCAGTCCTGTCTTTTGGTTTAACGAGTTTAACGAGTTGCTGTGCGACCAACGAAAAGTTCAGTGAAGGCGCAATGCGAATACTGTGTACCTTTCGCACCGCGAACCCATAATGGAACTTAATGGAGCTGACTGTCAGTATGGAGTTTCTCCTTGTCTCGGTGGCAGACTGTGACTGGACAATATATACTCGTAGTGCCACCGTTATTTGACAAGACGTGTCCGCACACACGTGGACATACGTTCAGACGATTATTGTATATATTATAAATATAGGTAGCAGCAATGTAATAGTCGAAGGAAGCGTATGTCGAAATGATTAAAACTGCATTGTCAATTGCGACGATTAAAATTGTGGCAGAACGTAATAGTAGAATGTTGTCGTGTACAGCAGAACATCTAAAAAAAAATTTGATATCAAACATTTATAATTGATAATTAAATTGTAACGTTGACGTAAATGTTAACTAATTTATATTTATTTTTATTCCTCTTAATTTATTAAATTTAAATTTACTATTTCGATCTTAAATGCTTCTCTTTTTTGAAGGTTTTTTTTTTGCGATGACAACCACACAATTGCCGATTCCTCTCCTTTCCGATAATTCTGTGGCGGCAAGTGTCGAAGTCAAACTATTCTCAGAGGTCCGGTGTTTTGACATGATGGCACCTCCAAGGATAATCCTTTAAACGGCCCCGACGGGTGGTCCTCGCGAGTCACCTTGCTTGCAGGACCTGCCTTGTCGCTTCTGCCTTTAATCCCGTGGACCAATCCGGCACACGAGCACTTCCTGGCGTTCTCGAGGCTAGGAAAATCTGCGGTTAATCCTGCGAAAGTCCGGCGAGAGCTTCATGCCGCATATAGTTTCCGAGTACTTTTACCGAATTAACGTACCTAAAAATATAAAAATTGATTAGATTTAAGCATACAAATCCGTACGTATAAAAAATTCTTTGTATCGTCGAGTTTTTATAATATACGTATCAACAAATATAGTTTCCATATATAGTTAGAATACAATGCAATGCGTTGACTCAGAATATCTGTGCATGAATACTATTTCAGTCATGCATATATATCTCACAACAATGAACATCGTGTAATCTGATATTCGAACAGGGATTTGATTATCAGACCGAGATGCCGTATGAAATTATGGAATTTCAGATCGATAATTTAAAGGATTGATATACGATGCTCTATTTTTAAACATAATCACATAAACATTAAATAATTAACGAAACGATAAAATAAAAATTAAAATTATAAATGAGAGAAAGATATAATTATTGCAAAAATATAAGAAGAAATTTATCGATCATATCAAGATTTTCCAAGGACCTTTCTAAGGCTCGTTTCTTCTACGGGTGAACCTTTGTCTTTCTCGGCATCCGGTTCCGGTCCTTATCTTATGTTACACATGTAACCTTCTATGCTATTTGGCCCATTGTTGGCCACATGTGCCTCGTCTCAAGAGGTTTGCTTATGTTGGCCCACCTAACATAGCAAAGCTATGCCGAGACTCGAGTGTAAACTTCGCCGACAGACCGATCCTGGAATTCGATTGCATCTAATCGTTCTCTGGCAATGATATGACTCCATTTAAGTAACCGCAATAACGGTTCAAGACATCACCAAGAACTTACTCCTTACTATTTCCTACGAAATACGGTAAAATATAAAATTAATTCATTATAAAAGTAATTTAATATTCTTTTCCACTTATAATTATATTCTTTTCATAATTTAAATAAATTAAATTTTAGTTCAATTAATAACTTTTTTATTTATCTTTGAAGATTTTTAGTTAATAATAGATAAGACATAGTGATTACTTAAGTGCATGCGCGTGTATATGAGATGTCATCATAGAAAACAAGATTTCCACGAGATTCGTGATCCTGTGGTTTCCGGATCGACAGAGCGGACGGTGTTCATCCTCGCGTGAGTTTGAAACTCCTGGAATCTCGTATAAATTTTCTACTACCGTCGAGTTTCCCAGAACATACCTACCTTCTACGAGACTAGGGATAAAATTAATTCTTGGTTAATCTTCACAAAATGACTGTGAAAAATCCTTTGTGGTTATAAATCAAACCGGTATATAATCAAATCGGTTTTATCCGAAGAATGACTTTTCTTTCTCTCAATAAAATTGTATAAAATAATAAAATACAAAAAAAGTAAATAAAAGAAATTGCAATTGCTGCATTATTACTGTATAAGCGTTTCAGTTAACCGAATATCTTTTGGAGCAACAATGAAGTGGTACAATGGAATAGCCGAACGTCAAATCCGACGGGAGGCTGCCGATCAGTCAGCGACATCTAATAAACGAGTAAATAATTTCGGTCACGTACCACTAGCGGGTACAGTCACAATGGGAGCTCCTTAAATAGGATTATATTAAGCTGTTTCACCAGCGATGAATGGCGAGTCAAATGGAGGATCGTCGAGGATGTTTTGGTAGGCGCGACTACGTGAGCAGTGCCGATGCCAGTGCCGAGTTGTGCCACCTCGGAGCAATACTGGCACACGAAGAACACGAAGCCGAAGAAGAGGAAGAAAGTAGTTGACAGGTGAATGGTCGTGGGCATCTTCGGCCGTCTCTTGTCCACGAGCTTTCCCACGTCCTGCAGAAAAAAATTGGTGTCTTTTCGCTCTTCTTCTCTTCCTGGCTTTCATGCCCCCTTTTTAATCTTCGAAATTTCGCGAAAGAGAAGATTATCAAGATATATCGTATTGAAGCATTAATCTGTAAAAAATGTAGTGGAAATCATATTTCATAAATATTTTGACAATCTTTGTAAATTATTTAATATTATAAATTATATATATCATTCATAATTGATCAATAAATATCGTATAAATATTTTTACTTACTTTGTAATTGAAATAAAAAATTTGAAATTTAATATATATATATCGAATATTCTTGAAGTATAATTTCAGTTATCGTTGCAAGTTCTCTAAATACGGTAACCACAATTTAATTCTAGACATTTCGACGAAAGCGCCACTATATTGAGATATCATGGATCCGAGTGCATGCACCGTTAAACTTTCATTTTGTATCGTACTTTGTTACTCATTTGCTCAAACATGTACGTTTCAATTGAACTGCGGCCCATAAAACAGAGACCTTTCATCGGATACAAGGCTCCGGCACGATTCGAAAATTTCGACGAACTATTTTCAAGACGCGACGATTTAAAAACCCCGCCAATAGAAGATTCTCGCCTGTCGACCTGTCGTTGGTTTGCCGCTCTTTGTCGTCGAATTATTTTAGCGGCCGATATTTTCATCCGTACTGCCACCTAAGCGAGGCTTCGAGCCAAAATCAACATAGAACGAGCATCCTCCTTCTCGCTTCCTTTCGCTCCCTTTCTTCCTATCCCGCTTTTCCCTATGAACTTCCACAAACGAAACAGAATTCATGGATCACGTATTTGGCGACTTCTCACGTATGCATAACGCGTAAGGAAAATATCATTGATATTCAAAGATTTCCAAATTTTAATTATACATCGAATAGAATTTGATATTAGGTTAAAAAAGTAAGGTTACCTTTGTTTCCAGCTTTGAGATTAGAATTTGATAATGTATATTTGAATACTTTTCATCTTTGTTACATTCACGATTGATCGAAATAGCATTGCATTTTGTCATTGATTAGATCATCAAATTTCTGAAAATAAAGCGATCTGTAGTCGCACATGATGCAACATGCAAAGCCACATATTCCGTTTTTTCATCCAGAAGTTACCGTCAGATTGGCTCCTCAAATCCCGTTCCTCTATCGGCCGTTCATAAATCGGTCGTTTGCTGTGTTTCCACGCGTACTGAGAAAGCAAACAACAGATAAATCAACGATAAAACGTTCCGTCGATCGACGAATCGACCGGAAGAATAATAGTTGGTCGTGCCTCGATGATGGCAGCATGCTAGGTGCCAAGCCGTCTAGTTATCCGAAGGAACGTGAAAATAAAAATACTAGTGCATTTATCAGATTACAAAGAAATTATTTTAAAGGCAAACGTTTTATACATTTTGCATTTTTGTTTTTATTGATAGTTTTAAGATCAACGTTTCGGTGATTGATATTTTATTTAAAATTATATTAAACACGAAAATATGCTTATTCTTTTTTTTATAACTTCTCTGGTTAAATAGGTGTTACTATTTTAAAAAATAATGGAAACGATATTAAATACATATATCGCTTTCTTTATCAATATTAAGAGAGTAACCATGCAGTCATGTATTCTTGAATCGTGAGTTGCAACGAGTCGAGTCAAAGTGATTCAAGTGGCTTCGCGCAAAGGCAAATATTTGACAAGGAGAGATAAATTCCATTGGAATTCCATGGTATCCGTAGACAGCACGGCACCATATTGCGATGGCGTCATCGAACAGAAAATCTATAAAATGAAATTAATTTCTGAACAATTTTTAACTAAATAAATCATATAACATTATATAATAAAGTAAAAATATTTATTATACTCTATTTAAGTTTCTAAAAAAAGTAAAAAATTGCAAAATAATTTATGTCACATAAATTAATTTAATTTATGACATAAATTTCTTGAACCCATATAAAATATATTAAATTTAACCAATTCATATGATTCATTGACACGTAATGAGTTGTCATTAAACGTATAAAAGTGAATGGTGAATGAGTGCAACTTTTCACTGCCAAAAAGCGAACGAGGTTCGACGATTCACGATCAGGCCGATTATTTATACTATAAGCAAAATACCCCAGCTCCCGGGCACTCGGTCGTGCAGCATCGGCCGTACTCGTAATTCGAACAGAGAGGATCAGCCGCTGGTGCTGGCTGTCAGAAAACGAAATACCATCCGGTCCACTTCGAGCCTCCACTCGAGAATGGTATTATGAATGAATCCCAATGGGGGAAGAACGGGTGCAGAGAGAAGAGAGAGACTGATTCGAGTCTCTCGAGCCTCTCCAGGCTCAATGGAACCGAGAGAAAAATCCGTATGGTCATTTTTTGATCGCACAATGAAACTGACTGCTCGCATCACCTCTCTCGTTGCTACTTCGTCTTGCTGCTCGCGTCTCCATGTTGCTGCGTCACAACAGTGACACATACAGGCAGGATTCCTGGCTGTATACTTGGTGGGGACGGATGGCGAGGAAGGTGGTTGGGACGAAAGGAGAAGGAGAAAGAAATTCGATGTGGCTTCACAATGAGCCTCTTGGATGACTAGCACCGAGGAAGAGGTTCCATAGGAGTTATTTATGCGATCTCATTCTGAGACGAGGTGACACGACCATGTCCCGTAAACAATGCGATCTTACGAGGGAAGAATGTCGACTGATTCGATTAACGGCGATGATTGGTTGTATCTTGACTTTAGTGTGCTTCCCAGCATTCTTTGCGATCCTTAACGTTGAAATACATTAATATCCCTTCACATGTATGCTATGTAAAATCATATAATATAATATTAATATATTTCTTTTAGCGAATTGAAGAAATTAATAATTCTATGAAATTACTTACGTATTTGATCCAAGTTATCGGCAAAAGTTTCTCTTTTACTGTTATTCGGCTACTTTTACGTGATTTGAAAATCATAAATTTCCAGAAATAGTGACGAGGCACGTAGAAGTCATTCGATACCCGTTATCTTGATCACGAAGCATCCCGATCAATCACGTGATTTTATGCGAAAGCGTGATCTAGACGGCGTTTCGAGAATTCTTCGTTGATCCATCGGTCAAGTCGTTGACATCTTGACGAGGCGTAAGGAACGTCTGGCGTCACGTAAAAAAGCCGTTCGTCTTCAGGAACGCATCCACCCACCGTCGACAGGTTTGATGCCTTCCGAGGGCCTGATGTGGGGTCTTTCGAACCACAAGCATATACATATACATACCGAAGGCTTTTCAACGACCACGCTGTTTCATCTTTCGGAATTTAACAGCTGTTAATTATGACAATCTTAGTTAATTTTCATGATTGGATCCGTTCATACTCAGAGATTAAGATTATTCAATTGTATAAGATGTCAGGTAATATTGTAATCGATATTTGCTTGATTGTCACTCATTTTACAACTGATTATTTAAAAATAATTAGTTACATTTTATATAATGTACATGTGTAAAATTAATGTTTCCATAGGAGTATCATTAGGAATAAATTGTTATGCTTTAAAAAATAAGCAATTTTTGGTTATCTGTATGTTGTTAGATTTCTCTCTCTTAAGAATGATCGAGAAACTAAATTGCATTTGTATAAACATAATTACTTGTCTCAAGTTTTTAAATTTGAAAATTTAAAAATTTAACAATAATTCAAAAGATACAATTTCTATCTTATCTTTCATTGTATTTTCAAAAAATATTTCATTTAATGTATCATGCAATGTTTATTTGCATAGGTGACATTCCTTCAATCCATAAAAATTCAAATTTTTACGATTGTCATTTCAATAAAGGTTTCCGACTGTTGCAGTCGATTTCTTTTACTGAAAGAAGCAAGCAATGTTAACGCTGGGTGGTTCCGCTATCAAATGGTTGAACGCCTTCGAAGACGAATGTCTCTCGTCTCTTCTCCGATTTTTTCCTCTTACCGTCACCCCTTTCTCCTTCTACTTCCTTTTCCTAGCCGGCAGCTTTCAAGCCCCATTACCGTCGCTTTGAAACAAGCCACAGTAGTCCGATGAGCTTTTTTATTACTCTAATATTGGCCACAGCTCAAATCCGTTGCAAAAGATTGCTGAATATTTCCACAAAAAACCGTCTCGACTTTTTGTTTTGCGTCTCTGGCTTCATAAATTTCATTAATCTCCTTAATAACCCTATAATCTTAATTTCACGGTGAATGTATATTTTTATACAAACGAAACATTAAATTAAAACATTATCTTTGAATCTAATTAAATGTTTTAAGTTTGTGATTAACGTCCAATATGAATGCGTCCATATGTTCTGCCTTACTGAGATATCAGTTAACATTGGGATTTTCCGGTGTTTGTGCAAAGTTCAGACGAAATTCAACTGACGCCTTGTTTGTTGACGTATTGACTTTTCCAAAGAAGATCTTTGATTTTGATCGACACGGAGATTCACATTGATCCGAGTTATTAGTGGAGACTCTTGGCCCTCAGCGAGTGCATGAAACGTTGGAATTGAGATTTAAACAAGCGTCACAGTTAGAGAAACCGGCGAATCACACTTACATAGACTTCGTCAAATCCATTATCTAATTCTGCGCAAAATTGATCTTTTTATAATTGCTTGTCGCTCGCTTCATGAACCATAGAACGACTATTACTTCAAAATAGCACGTGCTATCTAATTTTCTTGATCTTCGGATGGCATATCTGTCATAATATGTTCATAATATTCAACGAGGAGCCAGAACAGGTTGCGTTGTGTCAACATAACTCATTGCCAGTATCAACAAGAAACGGTTACATTCAAGAAGATTGTACATGATCTCACAAACATGAGAATGTTTCTGTCCCATTGTCGTAATGTAAAAATTTTCATATTTCTTTCTATTAAAGAGTACGTTCATATATTAATTTTTTTAATAATAAAGTTTTATAATAACATATTTACTATATATATTTGCATATTTATAAGAAAATATATGGATAAGTAAAAAAAGATCCAACATTAATATGAACAAAGAATAATTCAAAAAGTAGAATGCTTTCTCGCTATGAAGTAAAAATTCTTATTTTGTCTGCTTACTGAAGCCTACGTTCGGTCTTCAAAGTATACTCGTCAGACAAGAGGAAGTGCTTTTTGTCCTGCCTGTGCATCCTACGCGTATATTTAACTTGGCATACCTACTTCAACACCTTCCGAACGCGAAGAATGCTGACTTCTTTTTTCTATTGTCCATTTCTTAAAATTTTTCGTCTTAACTTTAACTAAAAGGATAAAATAAAAAGAAATTTATTAATTTAAGTATTAAACAATTAAATTTAATTAGAAATTAAGAAATTTGAATTGATAAGCTAATAACTTATAAAAAAAGGATATTCTTTTAAAATCTCTAAAAATGATTTAATATTATTTGAAATGTTCATTTTAAAAATTCATATAAATGATTGATATTAATATAAAATTAATATTAATGATTCTGTTCTATATGATTACAAACTTGAAACTGCATGTATTTGTTGTATACAGAACTAGATATTTACATTTGGTCTCATACTGAGAATATTTTGTCAATCATCAGTTGTGCTCGTTAGTGAGATCCATCAGTGACGCGGACGCGTCTCGGCGACTTAACTTCTCGAAATAATCACGTAAATGCATAGAACTTGCTTTTTCTTTTTCTCTGTTGCTCTGTCATGTTTGTGGACTAAATACAAATGTACCATGTCTGGAATTCGTATAAAACGAAATGTTATTTTCATGATTGTACCCTAAAAATTTTATTTTATCACAGTAACATAAAATTTATATAAATTGCTTTGAATCCATATATGAACATCATTTTCGATTAATGATATGAGAAAAATGATGTATAAAATAAGTAATATGTAAACAGAATTGTTAAAAAGATCGTTTAACTTTTCACCGTACAAAATATCAATTACTAAATATTAAAAATAATAGAAAAATTGAAAAAAATTTAACAAGTAAATAAATGAGTAAATAAGTAAGATCTAGATTGTGACGACGATACTCGCGATAGTTGTTCATTCGAGCAGGTGGTTTTGCACGAGGACACGAAGCAGTGCTTGGTTACTGTTTTCAGAATAAACTAGTGAGCTTATACTCATAACAAGAAAAATATTAAATCACCGTCATCGCCTGTACCACCCTATCGAGACCCTTATCTGTGTAGCACTTTTCGATAGTATAACCGTCTCGAGTCAAGAAGCTTATTTGCGCTAACCTCGTTTCGATTATTTTTATTTTCACATCGAGACATTAATACATAATAAATTTACATCGTTGATTATTGCTGTTTCGTATTAATGTTCGTCGCTTTGTTGAAAAAATATTCGCGGGATAATTCACAGTTCGTAAAATATCTTCCTGTGATGTATAACATGCAAAATTAAAATAAATTTCCAACTTGAAAACAGGCATCCACTGAGCACCTCCTTGAGCAAATCTTCTTGTTTCTTGTTGTCGAAAAATATAGACGTATATAATCTCTTTTGTCATATATCGTCTTAATGGATAGAGAAACGTTTGCTAGTTTATTCGTTTCTTTTCTTGTTTGCTGCATAGCACAAATTCCTTATATACTACCACATTAACGACACACCGGTTGAGCCATTATGATCGCTGGTAATGCTATTTTGAAGATAGGACGACCTGCGGACCAATCCGCGTTGTGTTCTCATTCTACCGTAACACCACAGGAGGCACTCGTGTACAATAGGTTTGCGTAAGGGCACACCAGATCCTATGGCTAAGAAACGCTCGATTTACCATGAAATCGGTGAATGTAGCCGTATGTACACTCGCCTCCCCTCTGTCAGCACGATGATCTTTTTCAGGGGATTGTGTTTGAATAGTAAGGAAGTTGTTTGTATTAATTCATTTTTAATTAATTGTTATTTAATATACCTCTTTATCAAATAGATCAAAGAAAAAATTCATAATTATGTTTTTTGACATTAATTAATTTTTGAATTGCCATTTTTTCGCGGTTTATCTATAGTTTTCATTTCTATGGTTAAAGAATCTTATTTATCTAATAGATTATATGGACGAGGAAATTTTCTATTTTTATAAGTCATCAATGTTAAAGTAGAAAAAAGTTAGAAAATTCTTTACGATCATTGATAATTGCAGCGTAAGCGTAATAACTCAATCTGACGTAAAAAAAATGTAAGTCGAACAACGATGTGGTTACCTTCTCACGGGAACAAACACGGCGTAACTATCGGAACACGAACTCGAAACAATCAGCTCATTGTCTGGCTCTCATTGTATATCTTTCTAGGCCGGGAGGATCGTATCCACGGGTCTGAAGGTGCATCCACATACAATACGTACGCGCGATGGGCGCGTAACAATACAATCGGTAGGCGACAGGGGGATATCACGCGCACCACTGGCCACCGGCAATGACTTAATGCTATTTGGAGTCTACAGTTCTCTTGCACGCCATTATGCACGCGTGGCGAGTGTACTCGTCCGTGAATGCCGTAACATCAAGACTAAAAAGAGACGCCGACACAACGAAAATGTTTACGGTTTCATGGGTTGCTTTAGGTTGCTTAGTAGGCAAAATGTGATAGATTTCTTTGGGATGATGTTAAAGATGTAAACCTATATGGCAATCCTTCTGTATGTAATATATTCAATGAAACGGAATGTTCATTTGCGGTTAACAGTTCGAGGTTGTATATTTTATCAAACTATAACATATAATTTTGATTTTTAAATTAATATTTATTTAAAATATATTGATAGAGATTTAAAGAAAGGAATTTAATTTACTGATGAGGTTATAGTGAAGATATAATTCCAGGAAGCTGAATCCCTTGTTAATTTGAATGATTTAATGGCATTCGGTGTCAGAATTTCGTGGGACGTATATACGTGTAAACAGACACGGTGTCAGGCAACGTACCATACGGGGGTTGAACACCCTAAAATTAGCCCCGAAGCGGGATGCGACGCGTATACGCGAACGCAGTACGTATTGAACGTGAACCCACACGCGTAGAGAGCGTGAAAAAATGCTTACATTATCATCTGTAATTTCGTAAACATACCGTGGGTTGTACAGGGACTAGATTATGGGGAACCGTTGGTGCACCCGTTGCGGGTGGCCCAAGAAACGAACCATCTTCCGTAGTAGGTTTTCACTTTGGGAAGTGGAAGGAGCATAAAAAAAGATTATGATTAAGGAAACCACATGTACCGATGCGTTAATAAAATGGAAGATAGTAAAAGTTGTGTATTATAATTATATTCGTATTACATATAATAATCACGAAAAATATCAAATAAATTAATAATATTATAATTTCTGTTATATTTTATATTATTTGAAAGATTAAATAAGAGAAAATATGACATTAATGATTTGTAATGTTTACAGCATAGAAAGAACGGAATACATACAATAATGAGTCGAAAAACGAAATGAAAACGCTCATTTCTGACAAATGTGAAAATCATGATATCAGAGGAATTATTTCGTCTCCATGGTGTTCCAACTTTGTAACACAACACAGGAAACAAATATAAAGTATTCACGAGCACAACATCATTCGATGAAGTTGTATCGCGAGCGACAAGGATCGGTCGGTATACGGTTAATTAATTGCCTATTTTAAATTCGAATTACCATGCTATAATAACGTGTCACGCGTTAGGATAGCCTCGGGGAACAACGTTATGGGCGAAGGAGATAGATGCGCGGAAGGGATGAAAACCGGCAGAGACATCGATACATTGACATTCTTTGGTGCATTGGTAGGTGTGCCAATTAAATTCGAAATTACTGGCGAAAATGAGCAAATTGTTGCATACCAACGATGTGTAAATGTGCCTACCTATGTGTTCCTGGAACGTTTCGCACAAGCGATTTAGCATTTAACGTCATAATGACGTTTGCATTTTCGACTGGCGCCATTGTTTACTTTATTTCGAATTAAACCACGATTAAGTGTGACCTCATCTACACGGATATCCATACAATGATCATTACGTTCCAATCCCCGTTTAGAAATTTTTGACAAGAGATATTCCATTTATTGAATAAAACGATATTGAGGAACGTTTTGAAATCCAAATTAATAAAAAAATTTATCTTTGATTATAATAGAATAATAATCTATCAGATAAAAATTTTAATTTCAAGTTAATTTAGTATTCACGTTTAATATTCAATTCTTAGCTTTTTTTCCTTAAATCCTAAAATCAATATGAAAGAAGTCATTAAAAAGAGTATTGTAAAACACAAATTGACTCGGAAAGATTAATAATTGTTATTATTATACGATAATAATTTAAAGACAATGTTAAAATTTAATTTAAATATCCAATAATAGTTATAGTAGCATATTTCAATGAATTGGTCACATTTAACATATTTTTTCAATAGAGATATTTATAATAAGTTTAGGCAATGATCATGCGCCGATAAAATCGCTTTCAAACGATTTTCACAATGGTGTTTGTGACAGGGCGATGTACTACATTCAATAGCTATCGATTTGTTCCTGCAGATTCCATTGGATAGCAACAGACTTTCGTTCTTCATGCCGATCCGTATTTCTATTGGTCCCTCCATTTTTTCTTATATTTGATTTTTTTTAATTTCTCCATCCTTTGTGTTCTTTTTCTCCCATTTGAAAGAAAAGGCAAGCAAATTTGCAAAGAAAAGAAAAATTACAAGAGGGATAAAAATAGAGATGATTCGAAATATTGTAACTTCGCCCTACGTTTGTAATTGCCAATTTTAATTGGCTCCTGTTCGTTTCTCATGTTCATTCCATTCTTTTTCCCCCCCGATTCTTCTTCCCCGTTATCTGCGAGCAGTTTTTCCTTTTACCCTTTGCTCGGATTGCATCAGTGTGTTAGATGTAAATGAAATTCTATTTATCCACCATCATGCTCAGCCAGACTCTTTCGTTCCTTTTTTTTTTTCTTTCTGTTTTCACATACATTCCCTTTTGCTTCCGTGTGACCCTGTCCATTTGTCAGAGTACGACGAAATGGCGAATTTCGTTCGTTTCCGTGAAAGTTTGTTTTAATGGCGCCTCTGGTCTGTTTCAACTTGCTATTGTTCCAAACTTCGAGGAGTTATCATTTTATTCGATCATCTTTCTAAAAAAAATATTATCAATTTTATAATCTTTAGACATAATTTTTTTTATTTAATAGATGTGAAAAATATCGCAAGATTTCATAAGATTTTTGATCGAATCATTCTAAAATCATTTGCAGTTTATGTGATTCTAAAGTTAGAGGAAAATTTCACAACAAAGGAATCAAGGTATTTGAACAATTTTAAGTTTTCATTATATTAGAATTTTTTCTTAAATTTTATATTTCTTTGCCAGAAACTCATAATCATAATCATTCATAAGGAGCGAGACAAATTTTGCAAGCAGAACGAATGGACGAAGAGAGAAAGAGAAGGAGCAATGACTACGAAGATAGAAGCCGACTACGTGTATCGAGGTTAGGTCACGGCACTCCAGCAGCGATTCCAGTTTCGCGTTTTGCCGCGGGTCTCTGGGAAACGCACACCTGTCGTCTTTCCCCTGAACGAGCAGACGATGGCGAAGCCCCCTTTCTCTTCCACGTTTCTCTCTTCGTGGTACATTCTTCTCTTTTCATCCTTATCCTCTCTGCGCTTGCTTCCTTCGCTCGGATTTTTACGTCAAAAATATTTGTTGAATTGCTAACGACGTGTATCTTTATGTGTTACACATCTATTCCTTTTTTTTCAATAAAAATTTCTAAATGAAAGTTGTATTTGTATGTAGTATCTATATTACGATAATAATTATATAACAATGATAGTAGATTCATTAGTGCTTAAAAACATACGGATGTTGTTGTAGGTTTCTAGATTGTTTTAGGAAAATTTAGCTAGTAATATATTATAGGAACAATAATAGAAAAATTTTGATTTGAATGATTTAAATTCTTGATTTTCTTATTATAACTGATAAATAATATCTTATATAATAAGGATAAGTCATATTCTAATTCAAGTCTACTGTATTTTATAGATATTTTTATAATGGTTTACTAATAAAAAAAGGTTAACGTACATCGTATTCCAAACGTAACATCTTTTTCTTTTTTTTATAAACCATTCAAAGTTTATCAATAAAAACAAATTTACTTTAGTGTTTACTAGAAAGAAGACAAGAAATCGTTATTGGTTTCATTTTAACTCATAATCCTTTTTTTTTGTGGTTTTTCGTTTTGCATAAACTTTCGCTGGCCAGTATGTATCTCATTGTTGGGTTACTTAGAAAAAAACGCCTTTACGTAAGTCGGAAACGAAGAAGATTTACGCTGTCGATTCTCTTTCTCTCTTCGTCCATTTCGTAGAGCGTACTGTTTGTTTAAGTAAGCCGACGGCCAAACTTTTTTTCTCTTTCGTTCACTTGTTTGAAATTGATGATTGCATGGAACCGCTAATTCCGCCGCAACGGTTACGCGCGAGAAACAAAAAAAAAATGAAACGATAGATGGGGGGAAAGGGTGGAAAAAAAGAGAACAAAATGAAAGCAAGAAAACGTTGCAGCTTGAGCGTGCGACTAGCGTTTCCATCACCGAAATAATCGTCGTTCATCCATGGTTTTTCCAACGACGCAATGTTTATGCCACACGTGGGAACGTAGTCTCGATGCCATCAAACTTTTCAACTGTTTTTACGATGAAGATTCCTGTTAAAAGCGAAACTTTTTCGTATCTATGTCAACAATTCTTATAATATGATTAGTCGGTTAAACCGTACTCTTCTTACCGGCAATGAGTCACGTGACTTATCCATGTGATTAGGTTAGATAGTACTGTTCATTTAGTAGAGGTGAAGTCACGAATAGAATATTTTTTATTGACAATATTATTAGTAATTATCAATAATAAAAGTTTCTTTCCGTCAGTGATAGTTTTATGGTTTGAAGATCAAGATGAACTTGAACAGAAATCAAGTATTTCGTGAGAAGTGGATTTTTCCAGTCAATTCAAACGTTTCATAATAAGGTACGAAGATTATTTAGGTTAAGAATTGAATGAAGGGATCGCACATTTTTCATCGCGTATTTGCACGCTATAGGGTGAATAATTTTAAGTGTTTGCCATAGAGATAGAGATCGAGGGCTCGATGACTTTTGCACCCTCGAGTTCAGTCGCTCTAAAATTGCCCCAGTCTGACTCGGTTGCGGAACCGCGTGTGTTTGCTCGGTTTAGAGGCTAATGCCGGGCCGCCATCACGAGAGTTTACATTCCGTACAAATACCACTTCTGACGTTCGTCACTTTTGCCCGTCGATCGCTAATTCGATTCCGCCTTTGATAAAGTGGCTTATACAAGCAATTAATAAACTTCTCCATAGTTTCTCGTTAATTTAATTGACTTTGCATTATTATATACAATTTTTTAAACAATTTTAATTAAAAAATATATATTATTTTCATATTATATTTGTAATTTTCTTGTTTTCAAATTAGATAGACATTTCTAATCAAACAGTAATCAAAGAAAATGTGCACGTAATGTGCATATTGGAACAAGACACGTTTACCTTCCAGGAGATTCTTGATCCTGGATTTTCCATAAACCGAAGACCCTAAGGCGGCTAGAACGGAATAGACTGACGCGTGCTCGAAGGGATTCTGCTAACTGGTCGATAGGTATATATTCTATCTTTCGGCGAAGTAACGGATTGGCGGTACAGGACGTTCTAAAGCCTGGCTTTATCCGGAGCACGTGTTTCGGCAGATGCAGTTAAATACTGCCTCGAGCGAGAACCATCGAACAACTGAACGAAACTTTACTCGTTACAAAATCATAATGTTGTTTTGTTGGTCATGAAATTTTCTCTCATATTTTAACAAGGAATATTAATTATAAATAAATCTTTCGAATATATTTTAAATATAATCTCGTGTTATTTTAATAAAGAAATAATTGTTTATTGATAATTGCCATAATATATCGATATCAAGAGGAATATTAAGTTTTGATCTTCTTCAAAAGATATTCGTCAATTATACTATAATTCAATGATAATGAATGATTTTCAATATCTTTAATAATTATATAACTTCTTTATATTTTAATATTTTATATAATCATCATGTAAATTAATGACTATGTAATAATATATGTTATATAATATATAGTATCAGTATAGTTATATAGTTATATAATATCAACAAAATTAAAATTTGATATCCTTTTCGAAAAATTTCTATGAATCATACGCTTTAATGTCAGTACATTCAGCATTGTGATCGTTGCAAAGAAAACTCCATTGAAATTACGCAGTTTTCGATGTCGTTCGATCGTTCAAATATCCGGAATGAACAGAGCCGAGCGAACGTTGCAAGATATTCTTACCTTTCCATTATCGCCCACGTCGATACGGAGAAATAACGTTTCGCAGATCGCGACTAGAAATATAATCAGGATCGATCTCTGTTCGAAGAGATGTAACAAAGTGCCGGTCGAATGCAGCTCATGAACCAAGAATCGAAGCGTCTAGTCTGTTTGAAAATTTCTTGAAGCTTTTAAACGGGTTCACCGTTGTATTATTGTTATCGCGATCTCGACGATGCGCTGCTTTTATATCCCGTCCGTTTTTTTTACGCCGTAAAATCGTTCTTTTTATTAATCCGATTCAAATGATTGTTTGTTTTCTTTTTTCTTTTTTCTTTTTTTTTTTTTTTACTTTCTTTCTCCT